CACATGGCCCTGGCCTGGAACAGCTGAGCAGCCACTGTGTGGCTCTGGTGAGGAGGTGGGCTGGTCTTATCTGTTAATCTTATGGAAGCGTAGGGGAGTAGGAGTTGGTGCATGTGAAGAGCTGGCTTAAAAGATAGAAAGGCAGCAGCGTGGTGGGTGAGGGGGGCAGGCTGGAACCCATACTCATGGGAAGATGGCTTTCATGCCAGCGCCCCACACGTATCGGCTCCTGCAGACCCACCTGCCTCCTACAGAGACAGTGTGGGGGGACAGGCAGGAGCGGTGCTGAGGGAACATTACAAAGATTACTCATTACTGTATATGGTAAGCAGAGTCTTGGAAAAACTGTCTATATAAAATCCAAATTGCTAACAATATATGTATACACCCAACAAGCAGATGCCCTAGATGTAGCCCATATCTGAGTGGAGTTCAGTCACTCTCAGAGACAGGGGCTGTTGCTGCATAACAGCCTTGTCTGTGGGGAGTTTGGACACCCACTCCAGACTGCAGCTGCTGCCACAGGGCAGCTTCTGTCTGCGGGGATCTTGACCCCCCTGCGGAGAGGTGCTGTGCTACCCCACACTGCTGTCTCTGTATCAGAGGCAGGAGTGCAGGGCAGCAGGCAGGAGTCAGTCACTCTCAGAGACAGGGGCTGTTGCTGCATAACAGCCTTGTCTGTGGGGAGTTTGGACACCCACTCCAGACTGCAGCTGCTGCCACAGGGCAGCTTCTGTCTGCGGGGATCTTGACCCCCCTGCGGAGAGGTGCTGTGCTACCCCACACTGCTGTCTCTGTATCAGAGGCAGGAGTGCAGGGCAGCAGGCAGGAGTCAGTCTGCGTGGGAAGCTGTTTTTTAAACTGCCTCCCTTTGCGGGCCAGCTTCTGTCTGTCACCCCACAGGCAGCGCAGAATGGCAGGCGGCTCCCTGGGAGTGGGGCCAGGAGTGCACTGGCTGCTGGCCCTGCCCCAGGGACTATTGAATAGTTGTGCAACCACTAAATTGTTATGCGGTTACGCAACTATTCAATTACACGCTATCTTAACATCCCTATTGCATTTTTGCCTGTGGAGACATGGCCCTATTGACAAGGGTGACAGATACTGCAACTCTATGCAGTATCTTCAGGGACCACTGTATCAAACTTACGAATGGTTTTACTTGTTCATGAGGGAGGGCTACACAACTCTTACAGCAGTGGTGGGCAGCCTGTGACCCGTGGGGGCTCCACCTGCGGCCTATGGACTCCCTGGCTCTGCCCCTCCCCCACGCACCTCTCATACACTGGGGTACTGAAGCCCTGCACCTCCCCCTCCTCCTCCCACATATCTCCTGATTTGCGCTCCATCCCGCCCCTCAGAGACTAGGAGGCAAAATATAAAATGCTGAGCTTAACCTGACCAGCGGTCTTCATTCTGATTCAGCAAATGGATATGGCTGTCCTTTGAAGGGGAATCCCAAACTCTCACTGACCGGTTGGAAGGGACGTTAGTCTTTCCCTGTGGAACATGAGTGATTTCTGGTACATTTTCTATGGGTCTAACTCTGTTTATTTTTTTTCTGTCTTTTCTCTGTAATGCTTTTGCCCCATTAACAAAGGTGCTTGCTTATAAAGAGCTGTGGGATAACATATGATTGCAGGCAAGATGCTGTTTACAGCCCTCAGAGAAAAGGCAACACACAGCTGCTAGCCATTGGGCAGACTGGCTTTGCTGCGAATATCATTTCACGGTTGAAAGGCTGGAGGGCTGTGCAGACTTGCAATTCCCCAGTCAGAAGCAAGTGGGACACGAGTTCCTGCCCAGAGACAAGTGACGTAAGACTGGACTTGGCATGCCTGGAGTAGAATTCATGGGGGGAGGAATACACAGACTGTACTCCTGAAACAGTGAAGACAAATAATGATGCTCTATTCCTCTCTATTCACAGTTCAGGACAGATGTATTTAACCACACATTCTTTTAAGCAGATGGAAGCAGACTCACAATTCATAAGATTTCATTTTTCTGTTTCTGTAATGAGGCTCCTTGCATTTATATCTAACAGCCACATTAAATAACTTCTCTGTTTTCATGTGCCTAAAATAAAAGTACTAGTTTAATAATTAACAGTGATTCAATTAATTGGTGCTTTTGTAGCTTGCTTTTTTATGACTTGCTACCTCTTCCTGAGTTCTCAAAGTGACTCTGTCCTGTGGGATGCTTAACAAAGTCATTATAAACACACCATCACTGTCTTTCATAACACCGCCTTCCCTTTCTTCATCAACACTCATAAAAATAAAAGTGATTCTGTTATGTGCACTGCCAGTTTATAAAGCACAGCTTCATAATAAATGATAATACTAGGCTTTTCTGCTGTGTCTTTCAGCCAAGGATATAAAAGCCTTTCCAGTCATTCATCAGTCAGGACTTGCCAGTTGACAGATTTGGGAGGTAGGTATTATTTAATTTCTATCGGACTAATGTGTAAACTGCGGCATGGAGGGGTTACATAACATGACTTCCCAAAGTTTACCCAGCAAGTCAATGGCAATCAGGGAGGGGGTGACCAGAACAAGGAAGAATGTTTCCAGTAGGTACAACCAAGGAGGAATGGGAGATTATACTGGGGGCCAAAACAGCGTGTGGAATAACTTAGAGCAGTGGTCACCAACCAGTAGATTGGGATCTATTGGTAGATCTTGGAGCCTCTGACAGGTGATCCTGACTGGTCTGGCCACGGGGCTACCAAGTGCCAGCAAATGAGCTGCTCCTCCCTGCACTGCTGCTCATCTCCTGCCCTTTGCCTTGGAGCTTGGGAGAGAGGTTGTTTGCTGGCTGCTTTTGAGAGTGGTGCAGGGCCAGGGCAGGGGTGGTGCCCCACTGCACCACCACCCAGGAGCCATCTGTGATAAGCAGTGTCCAGCTGGAGCCAGCTCTGATCCCCTGCCCCAGTCATGAACCCCCTCCTGCACCCCAAGCCCCTGCCCCAGGCTCAGCGCCCCTCTCACACTCCAAATCCCTTAGCCTGTCCCAATCCTCTGCCCCCGCCTGGTGGGAGAATGGGGGAGGGCGTGAGCAAAGGCAGGGCCTCAGAGAAGGGGCGGGAAGAAGGTGGAGCAAGGGTGTTGGGGTTTGAGGTAGGTCCTGGATTGCACTTAAATTCAAAAAGTGATCTTGTGTTTAAAAAGATTAGAGACCCCTGACTTAGAGCAGTCACTGGCTTCTGTAATTTATGATAGCCAATCCCTTGCTTGCTATGGGCTGCTGTGGAAGCATGAGCTATGGTGCTATTCCAAGCCTTCCTGTGCTGTGGCATGTGAAGGAGGAAACATACGGCCATTTAGGGATTGTGGGTTGCGTCCCTGGCCCCTTGTAATGCCCTTACAGTCTTTGTATCTTGCCACAGTAGCGTACGGGAGCCAGGGTGAGAGGACAGAATCTGTCACCAGCAGTCCTGCATCCCAGTCATTTGCTTGAACCACTAGCCACTACTGCCTTTTAAAACACCTTTTCCAGCTTTAACCCAACTTGCTGAATGAAGAGCAGCAGAAAAGAAAGTTACTGTCAATCTTCTGAATGGAAGGTTGTGATTGTAAAAGGGGGGGGCGTTATTTAAAGGTGGGTATAAAGGGAAATGGGGAAATCGTTTGTTCAGCACTGGAAGGGCTGTGAGGAATAACCCAAAGTGTATTTTGATGTACTCATTATTTATATTTGAGGGGATCTGGGATACCCTTTTTGTTTTTGTTGGCCAGGCTGTTGGTGTGATGTGTGTCCACAATTATTGTTGTTGTTTCAATAGATTTTGGGCAAAACTCATTGAGGATTCCTGGCTGAATGTCCTGACTTCAGCAAGGAGGGGGAAACTGGCCACCTTACTGAACAAAAGTCTGCACTCTAAGTCTGCTTCTTGATCAGACACATAACTGGCTGTACTCTAGATGCACTAGACTTCTATAAAAAGGATGCATACCAGATTCCCAATCCCACCACGACAGCAAGCAAAAAGCTTAACATGCATTTCGCAGGAGGAAAAAAATCCCAGCCAGCTCGCTTCCCTGCCCCCTACATCTGCAAACTCCAAAACACAAGACCTCACTGGCACACACAATTCATGGATATCACACCATTTGCAGATGTGACAAATACTGGATACTTGCTTGCTTCCCACAGTGTAAATCTAGTGATTCGTGAAAGACTTAATCATTGGGTTTGGGCTCTCTTATTTTATTTATGGAATATAAAGGCGGCTGAAACGATTTCACCAGCCCCTTAGGTTAGAAAGAACAGACTGGTCTTCCCTGGGTAGGCAGGAGAACTTCTTGTGGCTTCTCTGATGTTCGTTATCTGCTTAGTATTTTAAGGTGGGGGGTGGTGCTGACTTTAACAATGTCATCCTTACACCCAAATCTAAACTACTATAAAAGGAGAGGTGTCCATCACACCATCTGTCACAGAGAACATTTGAGAATACACTGGGAGACCTGAGAAGCTTCTAGAAATCTAATATATACTAGCAGCTCCCTCGGGCGTGTTGCCCCACGTTCCCCTAGCGACATGTCCTGGCTCTCCCACAGGGGCAGGCCTTTGTGATGCCGCAATGTGCCTCGGGAGCTAGAGTTACGAGGGGTTTGACTCGCCAAATGGGGGAACTGTGGGCAGCGTCCCAGAAGTGGTGTCAGAAATTCGGTGGCGGGTACCGCTGCTGCTTGCCCTGCCCTTGTTGCTGCCCCCTGCCCCAGCCCCAGCCCCCCTTTCCCTGGCTCCAGGCTGCCCATGGCAGGCGCAAAAACCTTTCAGGTGGCAGCTGTGATCTCAGCTCGGCCCTACATGGTGAGGGGACCTGGGGTCCTGAGAATTGGGGGGGCACTATCTGAAGGGGGATCTCGGCCACCCTATGGTTGCCGGGGGAGTCTGGACTGGCCGGGGGTGCGGAGCTCTCCACGCGCTGGAGCAGGTAACACCCTGCGGGCTGCTGCTCCTTCCCGTCTTACTCTCAGGTGGCAGCTGTGATCTCAGCTCGGCCCTACATGGTGAGGGGACCTGGGGTCCTGAGAATTGGGGGGGCACTATCTGAAGGGGGATCTCGGCCACCCTATGGTTGCCGGGGGAGTCTGGACTGGCCGGGGGTGCGGAGCTCTCCACGCGCTGGAGCAGGTAACACCCTGCGGGCTGCTGCTCCTTCCCGTCTTACTCTCAGTGAGAGGTTTGTGGGGTGCCCTTTGCCTTGTTCTTCCTTGTGACTTCATCCATCAGCCCATCTACCCTACACTGGACCCACCTGTGGTCCCCCCTTCAGCCCTGGGTCAGCCCAGGGAGCCTGCGCAGAACCCGTCCCTCCCCCCTCCCGGGCCCAGGCAATGTCAGGTGAATCTGCTAGTGTTCATTAAATATGGTAGTTAAATAGATGTGACAAAACAAGTAATGAACTAATTGCTCTTTAAACAAATAGGCAAATCATAATCTCTTCCTCTTGCATTTTGTGAGGTCAGACTTGTACTAGTTCTCCAGTCACCATAGAATCTTCCAGCCAAAAATAAACAAAAACTCGACAAACCTTCCGTCCATGTTCCTGACATGTAGTTAGATGCTCACTTGTTCTGTTTTAGCTTGCTTTATTGCTTCCAAATTACTGGCTCCTGATCTAAGCCCTAGTTGGTTACTGGTATGGGGAGGTGGATTACTGTAGCAACAAAGAACAGAAGCAGAGCTGGCTGGCCTGTTCCCCTTCCTCAACGCTTGATTCAGACATCTCTGTCTTTCACTGCTAGGATGTGCTTGTATGCCAAAGCGACTGCCAGCTGTATGCAGCTTCTAAACACCAAAAGAAATATTGTCACACATCGTTATACAAACATCACAGCCACCCAAACAGCCCTGTGCGCCTGCAGAAGGAGTGAAGGAAGGTAGCATTTGGACAGGAAATAATTTTTTTAATGAAGTACTCAAGAGTCACATGACGTTCTAGCTGGCCTTTGGGATAAGCATAGCATTGGGTTTGACAATGTTACACAGAGAACATCAATTTAACTGTGTAATATGGCATTATAATTGTCTATCATACACTTAAGAAGTTGATTGAAACAAACAGTGGGGCAAATCTGCAGCTGAGGATATAGATCCTATGTGTAGAATTAAAGTAATCTAAAACGTTCTGAAATGGAACCTTGCAGTTTCAGCAAAGGGCCTTGCCAACGAGAGCTGTGATCACAAGATATTTCCTATAGTTAGGATAATGTTTCCCTTTTAAATTAGAAATGCAACCACGAGAAATAGCTAATTCATCATTAACAACACCTTGTTGTTTTATGCTAAAGAAAGTGATATGTCAATTAGCATACTGAACAGCCGAAGTGAAGTAAAAATCTTTATGGTGACCCTATCCAAATAGCTATAAGGATGAAATGACCATAACCGGTGATATAGAACATGGCTAGTAGATGACTTTATCAGTTAAATTGTTTCAGGTTATCTAACCATCTTGGTATATAGCCGTATATGGCTGTTTTGTCTGATTGTTTCATTATTGGTGTTGAACCAAGGAAATGGGTCAAGTAACTTTATATTGCTGCATAATGAACAACTACATCAAGGAATGCCATGAGACTCCATATAAAGACAAGAGGTTGAAAGTGGATATCTCTGCAAACTATAATATGCTGATGGAACTGCAGCCTGGGAAAGGAGGAGGAACTATGCAAAGTTACTCAAGATATATTACAAGAGAAGCCTACAAGAGCAGCTTGTGGAAGTCAACTGCTGACTGGAGCCTGCACTAGCAATTGTCTTTTAAAAGACTATTATACAAAATGCAGCAATAGCGGCAAAGGATGTTGCAAGCTGGTATATGACCAAAATGTATAAAATGTATAGTGCAAAAACTGGTATGTCCTAAGCTATCCTGTCCTATAGCAGAGACGCCTCTCAGAAAGATTAAGAGTGATTGTCCACACTAGGAATGCGAAGGACTAGTCGACAGGATAGCCAGCTAGTCGCTCCTTCCCCCCCCCCTCAAAGTGGCAGCACCGTGCAGAGCTCCAGTTCAGCCGGGGACTCCTCCGCTGAGCCAGGTCTCCATGCAGTGATGCCACTTTGAAAGGGCACCACAGAGTTTCAAAACAGCAGTGCCTCACAGCCATCTACACAGCGCTTTTTTGCGCAAAAACCTCTTGCACAAAAGGGAAAGGAAGAGGAAATGCAAATAAGTACAACATATGCAAATGAGTGCTCCATTTGCATTTGCTCTTCAGCAAGGGTCTCATAGTTTAGACAACGCTTTTGAGAGGAACAGTGCCTGGTTTTTCAGAGCACTCAGCGTGAATTTATGTGATTGATTTTCTTGTGATACATTGTAAAATCCCATGTTAAAATAAATCTTTTTTTACTTTCCAAAATTTCTTATTTGCTTTTTAAAATCTATTTTGGTCGGTACATTTATAAATTACTAAAGCTCTCTAGTGCGTGTTTTTGTTCAGGAACAAAATGGACTATGGGAAACTTGTAAATCAGTTAAATTAAGTTACTTATTCCATGTGCGTTCTGATGTATTTCTTTCTTCCAGGGGAAATTAGTTATTTGGAGGGGGGAGGGTAGGCAAGGTTGCTGAATGTGAGTGGTTGCTTTGCTAGGGTTTGTGGAGTTTGATTGATTTGGTGTGTTTGTTTTGGCAGTGGCTGAGTGGACATTCTCCTGGCTGAGAGTATTAACTAGACTATTTTTCCTTCTTGATGGCATTTTAGTTTTTTTGTTGCTAGGGTCTGTTTTAACACCTATCCCAGCTAGACAAAAGCCAAACCCTAATCTAATCATTTATTCCAGTGCCTGAAAAAAGGCTGGTTCTTCACAACCGTCCACATCTCATACCAATGCTAACCAGGCCTGTCTGTGTCTCTGCATGGCCCTGATTCCACAGCTCGCTGCCTGTCACATTTCCTGCCTGTCTTTCAGAAATGTCACATCTTCCTGCCCTGTGCTACCCCATGATCATTTCCACTAGTCAGCTGGCAATGCAGAAAAAGCAGGTAATGCAGTAAATGGAAACATGAAGGTATCAGGTCCAAGCTCTAGTTGCCTAGCCACCAGCTTCTTTGGGAACTCTGTGGATAACTTTCAGATGGTTTCCCAATTCAAAGGTTGGAAATCCTTGCTGTGGTGGGAAAGCGGGACAACTCTTTTCTAGCTCTCTCTTAGAATGTATTTGCCTTTCCGGTCCAGATGGTTGCTGAAGTGGATGGAGAACCAGAGGAATGAAGTTAAAATCATCCCATAAACCTAAGGCAAGGAATCAGAGAAACAAAGAATTAAATATCAGGACTGATTGTTGGATGTTACTTTATCAAAACCATTGCACAGGAGTAAACTCACATCAGTACTGAAGATAATACACAGGTCTCTCTGAGCTACTGTATCAGGCTGTTGCATACACAAAAAAGGGTCATGAAATGAAATGCTAAGGTTGAAATGTTAACAGAGAGAATAATACTGTGGTTAAAGCACTTTCCTGAGACTCTGGAAATTTGAATTCAACTTCTGCTCTTCCACAAACTTCCTGTGTGACCCTGGGACAAATCACTATCTCTATGCCTGAATTTTCCATTTATAAAATGGGGATGACGGTACTTTCTTTTTCCCATCCTCTTCCTGGTCTGTTTAGACTGAAAGTTATTTGGGGGCGGAGACTGGGGCTATGTCTACACCACGGGGTTTTTCTGGGATACCACAGGTATCCCAGAAAAACTTTGCCAATTCCAGGGAACACGTCTGCTCTTCTGCTTTTTTTGGTGGAAGAGCAGATGCAGTCTTTTGGAAGTCCTGTCTTCTGCCTTCCACGAGGAAGAAGGGCTCTTCTAAAAGAGGAGGCTTTTCTGAAATTTGGCCCAGTGTAAACAGGCCAAATTTTGGAAAAGCCTCTTCCAAAAAAACTACTGGAAAAAGGTATGCAAATTGCATACCTTTTCCCGATAGATCAGTGTACCCTAGACATAGCCTGTTATGTACAGCATCTAGCATAATGGGGCTCTCATTTCAGTTCCAATACCATAACATCAGAGGTGAGTCTAAAACAGGAGATTCAGTATTCACATTGCCACAACAAAGTTAAGTCTCCTCCTGTGTGCAAACAGTCTGAAATTGAATTGCAGCTACAGACTTATTCACTTATTGAAGGAAGATTTTTCTGGAGAATTATTAGAGCAGATGAAACTTAATATTCTATGCATGGAACAGGCCTCAAGACACGCACTCTGTCTTCTAACATGTTTTATTACAAGCCCAGGATCCTTCTGTAGACATAATCAATGTACATTGTGTCTGCCAAGCGGTGACTAGACACTACAGCAGGCTTGTACTGTTAGCAGCATTCTCCAACCATTGGCTGCTAGATGCACTATGTCTGTGCATCTGTAATGCAGTGGGATATCATCTCACTTGCCCATGCACCAACAACACTCTCCAGCCACTGGATTCCTGACCCTTTTTCTACAGAACATCCAGGGCTGGACTAACTCTTCTGGGGACTGCCTAGGTTCCAGGGTGAGGCAAAAAATGAGGGGTTCAAAGCAGTGTTCCTTGTAATTTTTTCCATCCATGGGTAGAATAAATTTTATGTGTATCAAAGCATGTGCAGATGTGCACCACCATTAGAAACACATGCTGCTGGCTGTGGGTACTCTGCTAATCAGCTGGGTGGCATTTGAATCCCTCCCCAGTGGCCGCCCAAGCTCTCAGCTTACAGGGAACACTGGTTCAGAGGGTGGTGGGTGCTAAGACACTAAGGGGGTGAGGGCTCCAGCTGGGAGTGTAGACTCTGGGTGGGGTCAGGGATGAGGCATTTGGGGTGCAGCAGGAGGCCCACAGGGTTTGGACAGCGGGAGGGAGCTCAGGAAAGGAGGTTGGGGTGAGGATGTAGGGTCTGAGCAGGAGGCCGTGTGCTGGAGCAGGCTCTGGGGTTGGGATGGGAAGGTTTAAAAGGAAATGAGGGTTCCGGAGGGGGCTCAGAGCAGGAGGTGGGGATGCAGGATCTGTGAGAGAGTTAGGGTGCAGGAGGGGGCTCAGGGCAGGAGGTGGGGGTGCAAGGTCTGTGAGGGAGTTAGAGTGCAGGAGGGGCTCAGGGCAGGAGGTTGGCCCAGGTCTGCAGCCCCAAAAGCCCCTTCCTTAATCCGGCCCTGCTGACTTGCGTGGTTTTCTAAAAACAAAACTGTTCAGCACACCAGTTGTCTTTTCTCCTGAGCTTGGGTATTCTGCAGGGGCGAATCTACTCCCTACAGGACTGCACTTCACAGAATGCCCGAGAGTCAAGACAAGTCTCTCTGCTTCCTGTTTTCTAGCCTGCTTCTCACAGGATTACACAGGCCATCTGCCTGAGTGTCTCATCATACACTGGGTTCTGTTCTCAGCAGCAGCCTTTCTATACACTGCAGTTCTCCAGCTCAACTGAACTACTTGCTGGTTCTCCTAATACCAGGTAATCTTCAAGTAATCACCTGAAACCTGGCCTCACAGCCTCAGTTGGGAGACAGCTGACCTCCAGTCCATCATAGGCTTAGCTTCCACAACTTCTTCCTTCAGAAAGTTACTGTCTTGACTATCTAACAACATTGCAAATAACTGTTATTTTTGTAGGAAGCTTAATTATGAGAGGTTTTTGAGACATTTCCCATTCTGAGTTTTCAAATTTTTTTCCACAAAAAAAATCGTAGTTTAAAAAACATAGTTGGTAAAAGTATCTGGGTTTTGGTACCAGTTTTCAAAGAAATCAAACTTTTACCAAAACAATTTTGATGTTTCTTCAAAAAATTTTGAGCAAGATGAACATTTTCTTTGACAAATGTTTCCAAGGTTTAAAAAGATTTTTTTTGGGGGGGGGAGGGGCAGAAGTGTCTGATGACAATCTTTAGATCAGCTCTAAGCACCACAAGACAATGTTGGCTCATGTGGTGGTTAGAATGTGGCATATCCTCAGCCACAGGACATAATATTTAGACTCCACACCTTGACAATGGGATTCGGATTCTGAAAAAGCCAGTTTCCATGGCTGTTCCCCAAGCTCAGTGTAGAACCTATGGCTGGCAGGATTTTAGTAAGCCTGTTGCAACAGAGAACTGGCTGTGATCCCTAGACTGACGGGAAGCCCTATTGGCATCTAACCCGGGAGACAGTATAGCTCCTCCCCTCGTCTCTGTGGTGACTCACAGCTTCAAGGTTATTTCCTTTGCTACTAAACTCCCCGCTGCTGGCTCGTCACTGCCACATCCAAAAACCGGTCTCCTGGATGTGAGTTTTTCAATGCAACCGGCTCTCCCAAGCCACTGAACTATTCCTGCCTCACCTATTTAGAAAATTAGTGTACTAAAGGAACAAACGTAGCTACCATAAAGCAGATTGTGATGATCAGTAGCACAGAGACGAAAGCCATATGTTTTTTTAGGAAGTCTTGGATCTCTTCGAGGCAGTCCTGAAATGAGAGAGAGAGTGTATGAAAGCATAGTGACAGCTTGGGGGAATTCACCTCTTCCCCATCTCTCTCTGTCTGACAGGATTTAACATCGTCCCTCACTGCAGAAGCAGCTTGCAAGCCCTGTTTCTCTCAGACCCTGCATCATACAGACAGCCTGTCTAAACAGCACCAATCAGTTAGGTTTGTTCCAGCCTGCTTTCCTTATCCTCAGCCCACAGAGAGTGCTGCAGCAACCCTGCAAATACTCCTTGACTTTACCTGCTCCTGAATGCAGCGTGAATTCCGGCACCAGTGCCTTGCTGCAAATTGTGTTATACTTGGTGGTGAATGGGGTCTATATCTTCCTTGTTCTGTTGCCCTCTGGTGCTCTCCACAGTCAGTTTCCTGTAGTATATCTATCATTACCGTGATATTTTTGGGATCACACCAGGTAACATATATTTCAGGATTGAGAGAGCGCACGCATGAGAGAATGAAAGAATGAATTGTGTTTGCAAAGAGGGAAGAAAAAGGAAGATGGGCTGAAGGCATTTGAAATGCACAATAATGTTGTCTCTGACAAGCTGTGGTTTTAGTCTGCTATGCATGGTCCTACACGATGCTGAGCGCTCTAGTTGGAATTAGCAAAAGCACTTAAGCTAATGTTTAAAATTAAGTATATGAACAGTCCCACGGAAGCATGAGTGTCAGAGGGAGATGGACTATTCATATGTTCTAAGTTAAGCACTTGCTAAAATGCTTTGGATCAGGCCAGAGTGCTCAGAACTTCGTGGAACTGAAACCAAGATAAAATGAGCTGCAGCTGCTAGGACACACAGTCACTTCCTTCATGCCCATAAATACTACAGAATGAACCCCTGCAGTTTATCTGCCTTTACTATCAGCAGGAGGGAATTCAAAGCATAATAGCTATGTAAGCACCCTGCTGCTTCACCACCACACAACAGCCAAATTTCTTCCCATCACTTCCTTTCCAGGACCCGTATTATTCTCAGGTGCAGCCTGTTCTGCAAATTACACCTCAGAATTCAGTTGTCAGAAGATGGGCATATTAGAAAGATTGCTAGCCCAGGTTACCCTGAATCATCATGAATTTGTCCCATGTTCTGCAAATTGACAAGCAAGGTAATTAAAATGTTCTGAATTTATACCCTATGTGTGATGATGTTGCATTAATACAGGATGCCTTTGCATTACCATAGCAACACAATCATTTTGCCTCCTAGGACAAATGTACATACTAAGATGGCAACTTTAATTAGCACTGCTGGTCAAACAGAGAACAAAATTAAACAGTCCAGGGAAATCTATGGAGAAAAATCCAAGTTACAGTCTCACAGCAGAGATTATCTGTTATTAGTTCTGTTAATTTGCTTTCTCAAAAAACCCCACAAAAAAACCCAAAACCTTGTAGAACTAACCAAAAAGTGGTCTATGCCCTTGAAAGAGAGGGTGGGGGGGAGGAGGAACCAGGTTTCTGGATTCCTAAAAGCTAGGCAATTTCCTGTGAATTCTTAGCAATTCTCTAATACCCTTGAAAAAATTTTTACATATGGAAATCTGCATGTTCAACTTGGCGCTATCAGCAGTCAAAGTACCTCTCATGTTTCCTAATTTAACTACAAATAGAGATGTTTGAATGGACTGATGGGCATCTGACGTCACACAGAAGCATGATGGCACATGTCCACTTCAAAGTCCGAGGCCAAGAAAAGAAGCTTCTGAGACATGACAAATTGAAAAGACAAGGCATTTCCAAGGCTCTTTAGGACTGCAAACATCAAACCAGATGAGGGAAGAGCTATGGAATTGTATCTGTGGCTCAGGGAACCACTGAGCCACTGCCAGCTCTTCTAGCTGCTGTTTTCAGTCAGCAAGACGCCAGTTTGTAGTTCTCATTAAAAAAAAATCAATACCCTTCTTTTAATGGCTACATCTGAGGTGTCTCTTGGCAGCCAGTAAGTAGGAGTAGACATGATAGCAAGGGACAGGGTTGGTAATTTCCCACCACTTTATTCCTCAAAAGGTCACCATTTATCTCACTCCATCTGAAGTTTCCCCTTCAGTAGTAGAGAAAATGTATGTGAAAATATGGTCAGAAAGCTCTAAGAGACATGGTCACGGTGCAAAGACAATAGAGGCAGGTGAGGGGGGAACTGGCTTTGAACTGGGAGCATGGAGTCTAGGTGAGATGGAAGATGCTCTTGTCAGTAGCTCCATGGAAAGGTTTGGGAATAATGAGCATCCTGTTGCTGCACTGGCCCAAAAGGCTATGGCTTGCCATTTAGACAAAAGACGCAAGTTAATAATGGTCTGTTGATGTAGAGGACCAGTCAATAGAGTCATCCAGAGGAAACAGCATGGTAACCTTAGTTATAGTACTGCCTTGGGTTGTAAAAGCTGACCAAGCTAAAGGGTGAGGCCTTCATTCACTGCTTCTCTCTGCCACATGTAGCCATTTCAGTTTAGACTAAAAAACAACGAATGGTCTGGTAGCACTTTATAGACTAATAAAACATGTAGATGGTATTGTGAGCTTTCGTGGGCACAGTCCATAACTCCGGTCATCTAAAGAAGTAGGCTGTGCCCACGAAAGCTCACGATACCATCTACATGTTTTGTTAGTCTATAAAGTGCTACCAGACCATGTGTTTTTTTTCTGTAACAGACTAACCTGGCTATCCACTGAAGCTCCAGTTTAGACTAGGTGAAGTGGTACTTTCCCCCCTACTCAAGTTAACTAGCAGCTAAAAAATAATGGGTCTTTCTTGGCATCTGACAAGTATGAACAGATCCTGGATTACTCACTTCTTTGGCTGTGCCCATTTGTTCTGATGGACATGTCTCATTTTCAATGCTTCCTGTTTCTCCAAAAGGTGACTGCTTTCCACAGCACAGAAACTGAGACACAAGAAACAAAAACTACATTACTGTCTGGGTTCTTCTCTTACCAACCTTCTCTCTGGCAGACTGCGGCAAGATGAGTTGCATCCAGGGGAGATAAAACTTCTCTATCTTCCTTATTCTGGGCTAAGATTTCATAACCCCATGGCTTCAGAGGATGAATAGTATTATAAATATATCATTATAGCAGTTAAAATCAGAGGTTAAATGTCTTAGAGCCTGATCCAAATTCTATTGAAACATATGGAAGTCTTTACATTGACTACAGTTGGCATTGTACTAGGTCCTAAATTCTCTGTTCACAGAGCCATAGGCTAATCTGTCATTCCCTCTGCTCCTCATCTGTATCTCTCAAATGTCTGGACTCAGATTTTAAAAAGCTGCTGCTGATTTTGCGTGCTCAAGAACAGATACTTGGGGCCAGTGCTCCCTGTAAGCTGAGCACTTGGGTGACCACTCAGGAGAAATTCAAATGCTGCCCAGCTGACTGGCAGAGTCCACAGCCAGCAGAATGTGTTTCTACTGGTGGTGCACATCTACACCACCTTAGTGCACATAACAAAACTTATTCCACACATGGAGGGCAGGAATTAGAGGGAACATTGCCTAGGGACTGGTTTTCATTAGTGCTGGGCACCTGCAACTCTATACAAAGCCACACACAGGAGCTGCTGGTGTTCAGCCCTCCTGGAAGCTGGGCCTAGGTTATTTGTTGATGAGTACCTACAATCAGTGGCCATTGGTGAAAGTGTTGGGCTTAGTTACCAGTACCTCAGGGGTTCTGACAATACTGAGAGCACCCAATCAGCAGTGCAGGGAGAGTCACCCATGTTCAGCCTGTGAGTGTAGTGGAGTCATTCCCCATGTGTTTCATTGATGATTTGCTAGTAAGAAAAGAGGAAGCTTTATCTAGTGGTTAAAGCCCAGCATTAGAAATCTGAAGAGAGAGGGTTTCTGCATGGTTCTCATTTCCAAGAAAACTTTGAGCAAGTTACTGAACTTCTCTGTACTTTTGTCTCCCCCCTCTGAAACATGGAGAGGGCAATACTTCCTCCAGCCTCACATGGGTGTTGCAAGAGTTATAATTATTGCCTGTAAAGTGCTTGGAGGAGCCCAGATGGAAACAATTCTACATACACGAGCACATATTAGTGCTGAGAAATCAGGACAGAAAATTGAGAGCCAGAGGGAGGAGTCCAGAAGCAAATAAGCAGCATTGACCTTTCCCTCCAGTCCCACAGCGTGACATTAGATCACTATTCAAACTGACCTTGCTGTGCAAGCGGATGGCATTTCCTTTACTCAGCTGTCTATAGAGGACTCCTATGTTTCTCTCCATAGGAAACATTCTCTCTACCACTGTGTTATCTCTTCTTGTACACAATAAGTGAAACAATCCCTAGGCTCTGTGCAGTCACATTAATCTACCTACTGAACCACAGAATCGGGGTGATAGATCTCCTTTAAATCTACAAGCTTTGCTGCAAGGTCAGGATTCCTCAGAGCTAGGTGGCTTGCTTTTAACATGTCAGTGGCTTAAACCTTTGCAAAACAAAACAAAACAAAACACAGGACATTTGGCCCTGATGTTGCTACATGGGAAATTTACTGCCAGTTGGTCGTATTGCTTAAGTTACGCCTTCAAACACCCTCACACATTGGAGCACCCCAGGCTATTGATTCTGGAATGGTAACAAGGGCTTTCAAGAAGAGCTCCCTAGCTTTCAGGTGTATAGGCTATTCAGCCACTATTAAGGACCTGGCATAGAATAGTAAAGTGACTACATGGGGGTTTTGGAGTGAACTGCCGACTCAGGGAGGTGAGGCTCTTGGTATTTGGCTGAAAGTGATTATCAGGAACCTGGATCTTCACACTGAGAACTGGGGAGGGGGTGGGAAGGTTACCATAGCATGATGATTGCAAGTCTTAATATTGATAGTACATAATCCGCTGTAGTCCTATGAAAGTCCTACTTTCACCCTGCTGCTAATTCAGCCAGCAAAACTTGGCAGTGCAAAGCACAGAAGG